TTTGAACTCTCTTTTTTCTTCTTCTTAAGGTGAAAGATGGAGTTAGAGATCGGGTTTCGGAGAGAGCGGAGAGAGCTCGGGTGAGTTTTCGTGATTGGAATTTGAAGTTCTTCTTTGCCTTGTTTTGTGGAATGGAAGTGTGAGGTTCGCTTTTGTTTCTTTGTTTTTTTAGGGTTCTCAAAAGGTTGTCGTGAAAGAAAACACCAAAATGCAAGATTTCAAATTGCATACGCAAGAAAGAGCGGTGAAGCGGGCCATGTTCAACTACTCGGTGAGTTGAGTGCTGAGTTCTGATTACATATATTAGCTTAAGTTTTTAGGTTAAGTGGTGAGCTTTAATATAATCGTATCAATCGCTGTCTTGTCTATTAATATTTTTTATTCATCTTGTCGGGTCTTGTATTAATTTTCGAACCGACGTGCAGGTAGCAACCAAGTCATATGTGACGGAGATACAAAAGAAAATTGAAGAAAAGTTGCACAAGGTAAAAACTTGCCCAATCTTTGCACAACACACACAAAGTTTTGCAATAAAACAGTGCAGAAAAAGAACTGAACAAAAACAAAATGTGAAAGCAGATGATTGAAGAGGAAGAGATTCGTTTGCTGAGAAAGGAGATGGTTCCAAGAGCTCAACTAATGCCCTACTTTGATAGACCCTACTTTCCACAAAGGTAGTGCACAAAAAAGTTTACACACTTTTATTTGCATTATTAAGGGTACTTTTGGGATAGTAAAAACGTGATTTTAACCGATTAAAAGTACGTGAGTTTGATTACGTAGTTAAAAAGCACTTCCTATACAAAATCATCAGTAAAGGATAAAAAAAAGAGTACTTTTGAACGTTCGACTCTCAAAAGTCATCCTAAACTCGTGCCCTGATAAAAAGAATACAATGTGGTTGAATCATTTGCAGATCGAACCGACCTTTGACGATCCCGAGAGAGCCGAGCTTCCTGGTGAACAAGGAGCAATGGAGCTGCAACACTGACAGTGAACTTTACAGCTTTCAGAGACAAGCTCTAAAACCAATCAAATAAAACTATAATGTGTAGATTTGAGTTTGTAAACCAGTGTTTGCTCTGATTCTACTTTTGATGCACTTTGTAMAATTTAGTCACATAGAGAGRGAGTGAAGTTTTTGAGGTAGAGAAGCAATTGCTTTCTGACTTGTTTTTTCAAAATGTATCAAAATAAAATGAATATTTCGTCTAACTTGAGCATAGCTTAACAGACGAAATAATAATAAAAATTTTCATTTTTAGAAAAAAACAAAATGTAAATATGTTTCCTAAATGTCTAGAGGAGAGGCAAACAGAGACCATTTTTTTTTTGGAAAAATTAATCATAAACGAAGAGTTAGGACTAATTTTAGACTTTATTAAAAGCACAGTGACTAAGCTTGAAAAATTGAAAATACATAAGCTAAAATAGAACACATCCCAAAGTACGAGGACTAAAATAACATATATTTGAATATTTTCTTTTCTATAAGAAAATTATTATTTTTTTAGTTAAAAAATTACAAGTTGTAAGATCGAGCCATCAACCTTTTAGATGATAAAACTTTATCTATTGAAGTAATGCTCGAGTCGTTAGAAAATTACTATTAAGACTACATTAAAACAAAATTAAATATAACCTAACTYGTGGCTTAAATAACTTTTGGGTCATGAATATGATGGGTTCTAAAGTACCAACCAAATCAAAACTAAATCTTTAGAATATATAGCAAATGTTTAAAATTGAGTACAATGATAGACTAACTGAAAATGCACTAGTGCTGGGTCGGCCCCAAGTCAAAAGATTCATATTCGAATTTGTAACATATGAGCTTCTGCATGTTAGTCTAAGTTTTTAAGTTTAGCAATGACTTTAATATGTTATTGGAATAAAAGGTCCTACATTGTTGCTGACATTCTCTGTCTAGTAAATATTGACAACTTATTTATTGGGTCTCGTGTTGGATTTCGAATTTTACAGAAGGTAAAAAAGTTTTTAACCTATTAGAACCACTTTTTAGTAACTTTTGTGGGAGCGTCAAGAAGTTTTAGGAGAAGCGCTTAATCCCAAGCTTATAAAAGAAGTGCTTTCCTGAAAATTCCCATTTCCAAAGAGTTGTAATTTGCTCTAATTTAATACCCGTTATCACTACAAGAATTTTTTGCTATCCTGACGTTTTTTTTCGCCAAGGCAAGAAAAAACATGGAGAAAACTATCTTCTACCAACAGAAACAAAGAGGAGAGTGAATTAAAGGCATTTGATTATTTGGAGTTCTTATCCAAAATGAAAATAATTTGATTAATTCTTCAAATGTGTTCTTTATTGAATAATAAGATAGACACAAGAACCAAAAATAAGGCCACAGCTGGATGATTTGAGGTCTCTTAAAATGTCACTTGCAAAGAACTACAGTTGTGGGATTAGTTTTCCTTTTTTGGTGGATTGTCTACATCTGTTTTTCTTTTTAGGGGAAAATTTCCATGTTAATTATATCTTTTGTTTTCTTTTTCTTTTAGATGGCTAACTAAGCGATTATAAGTACTATACTTATAACGTGTCAACATTTTCTATGAGGGATGAATCGATATTTCTATATTATTGTAAAAAATCGACAAAATATATATCAACAAAGTATCACTAATATATATGGACTCATATAGMTATTCATAATTTTTAATTTATTTAACAAAATGTGAAATGCTCATGTGTTAATTTAAATATTTGTTACGAATTTTTTATTTTTATCATTTTTCTTTCAGAAATATCCATCATGGTAGCATTTTATCGATATTTTCATCAACATGCTCATTTGAACTTGTTTGAGCTTTTTTTTAGTACAACATGTGGAGTGGAAATTCGAACTCACGACTCAAGATCGAACATAGATGTTTTAACTAGTTAAGCTATACTCAGGTTGCCATCTTGTTGAGCTTTGATATTGTATCAATATTTATAGAGTTTCATATCTATATCAATTGACAATGAGAGGAGTATATATACATAGATACATACATAAATTATAAATCTTTGTTAGGTTGTTTATATTTTCGATGTAAGCTGAATCCTTAATATAGATTGAGTTAACAAGTTTCATTATCGTAACTCTACAATTCAATTCGTAAATTTGTTCAACCCATATGAACTAATTTTRGGAGATCCCTAGACCAGTCCAACTCATAAATTTTTAAATTATTTAAAACTAACTCAACTCAAATAAGTTTATAACCGGACTCAACTCATACCATAGAATCTCGAGTTTTCTAAATACCCCTCTAGCACAACCATTAAGAACCATATGGAGATAGCCCGATGCCACAAAATGATTGAGAACTATTAGGTCAAATTGCACACTTTGTTCTTTGCATTCAATAAGTTCTTCTGAGTTTAGCACTCCTTCACAGAACGAGGAAAGCGGGCTTTCAGTTACCTCATCCCTTTTTAGTAACAAAATGAATTAGAGCAAAACCTTTATTCCAGCAAAAAAAAGATATTCAACTCGGCACAACATAGGAAAAATTTAAAGGTAGAATGAAAGAGTGTCATTTTCATCTTTTGCGATGTCCTTTGGAACGTTTCTACAACTCCGTTTTGTTATAGAGTGTGTTGTGTGAGCAGCTAGATGGGTGCGTAACTCGTAGAAATCTATCCAATAATTCAGGCCAAATCCTGAAGAAAGAGCAACCTTTGCTGATTGCCAAATCCATTTTTTGGGTCAATTTTGACATAATGGTTGAGAGAATCATTGCAAATGATTTTTCTTTCCGAACAAGAAAGATGGAAGTAATTATATTCCTATTGTTAGGTGCCAACTAAAGTTTACTCAAATGCTCAAGTTAATATTGAGTATGAGAAAGACAAAACAACTCGAGAAAAGAAAATCAATTTTTACTATTCACTATCGACTTTTTATTTTTACTTTTGTAAATGCTACCAATTTTTACTTCGTCCTTTCAATCTTACAATCAAATTAGACCTTCAACGTAAATAAACGTTGTAATTTTTACAACCAACTTTAGCGTTGTTTTTTACTAAAATCTCATCAATTTCATGCTAAGCATATATTTATTATTCATTGATAGCATGTAARAATACTTATTGCTACATTACAAGTTTGATTCTTAATTAATAAACTTTTGTACTTAAAAAAGTTAAATCTTAGCTTTGAAAGTTATGTATATATCTAATCAAAGACTAATCACAATACATATACAATTGTCAATGATCGTTTATTAACATTATGTTTCTTCTTTTCAATTTCATGTTTCAAATATTTTTTTAATTTCTCATTTCTCTTTTTCAATTTAGAAAAATAGAAATACATTTAATAAATATTTCTCTTTTACTTTTTTTTTTAAAATAAAGAAATCGAAACATGTTTTATAACCGTCTTTTATTTCCTATTCTCTAAAATTTTAGATTAGAAAAAAAGGTAAAATCAAATTAAAATTTTCGTATTAGATATTCAAAACCTTTATGTTATATATATTATATTGGGGCACTTGCAAAATTAGTTTTTTTTTTTWAAAAAAACTAATATTTATTTGCAAAATTAGCAACCACATCTCAATTTTGGGAAAATATCAAACAATTCATCCAAAATATAAAAAAAGTTTAATTTACCTTCAAATCTCTTTCCTCTTGTCTTTCTCAAAGAAAAAATAAATATTTCATTTTGATATATCTTATAGTCATAGGATTTAGTTTCGAATACCTTTGATATATATTATAGTCATACCATTTAGTGTCTTATAAACTGTTAATATATAACTCAAAGTCAAACCTCAAAGGCATATCAATTTAGCTTTTAATTAGTTTATCATATAATTACTGATATATATCTCCTCATATAGCTTTGATATATTATTCAACTTTTGATACATCACCAATATATCTTGATATACCTTATTTAATTGTTGATATATTCATGTGCTAATTGATAAACCTTTTTTTTTTTTTTGAAACAAATATTGATAAACTAATTTGATATATTATTGATAGRCCTCATTATACACCTAATTTGATTGTCGATATATTTGATATGAATATTGATACACCTAATTTGATTTTCGATATACTTGATATGAATATTAAGGGTTTATTTTACTCCCAAAAAAAATGGAATTAAGGGTTTAAAAATCATAAAATTATAAATTTTAGATAACATCATAGAAACTTTTTCCCTTACTCTTTGACATCGTTTATCATTTGGAGTTTAAAGATGACATACTCAATTGCTGTTACATAAGCTCTTGCCTTTAGCTAGGCAATATAATAAAGTTTGACAAAGAAAAATTTATGTCTAATCACCAATCTAAATTGTAATAGATTCGATGAAATTTATCGAGAAAATAAAATAATTCCTCGCATTATGAACRCATGTTTTAAGTACCTAAAAACAATGAAATCTCATGGTAAAAATTACCAATTTGCTGTTCATTGATTTACTTCAAATTAGATTTATCAAGTATATAATAATGTATATGCTTCATATAAGGAGCATAAATCGATATAACTGATATATAATACTTAGTATATTAGTTATAACGGATATACTTCGTATAAAGTAAATCAATTCTAACTAAATATAAACATCAAGGTATATCACTAATATATGAAGTACAACAGTGATAAAGTATATAATATCAATAATAAAAGTACCCTAGTATGAAGGACATGATATACCAATGACACACCTAATTTGATATACCATTGACATAACATAAAACTAAATGAGTAAATTTGAAATAAGTATTTTAAATTTGAAATAAGTATTTTAAATTTGAAATAAGTATTTTAAATTTGAAATAAGTATTTTTGCAAAACTCAAAAGTTGGTGCTATGTATGTAAATAAGACAAATATTTTAACTGCCCCTTACAAATTTCCTATTATATTTGTTATACATTTTAAGAATAAAAAATCATAAAATAGGTTTGAGAAAAACCGAAAACATGACCAAGAAACAAAAAACTTGTTTTCAAAATTTCTACACAATTTTAGAAACATTTATTAAAAACGAGAAACGAGAAACATAAACGARTACCGACACTTATGTTTCTCAAAAATTAAAAATGAGAAATAATAAACAATAAACGGAAACATCCTCAGGTGTCCCATGCACACCCATAACCACACTATTTAACCCATAGCTCCCCAAAACGCTCATTGACGCAAATTATTTGTTCCAAACCCACCAAAACTTAACCCGACACATTTAAGGTGCACTTTTGTTATAGTTCCATCCAACACTCTTTTGGTACGAATTTTGGAGAGCTAATAAAGATGGGCAAAAGATTCTAATTATAAATATAAGAGCCCATCATGAATTAATGGACCAATGTAAAGGATAAAAAACTTAAAGAATGAATTCAAACCATAGTAACTACTCACCTAAGATTTAATATCCTCARAGTTACTTTGGTAATCAAATGTGATCAAGTTACTTTGGCAACCAAATGTGTAAATTAGGAGATGTACAATCTGACCAGACACTCGGGAGGTGTCTAATCAAGCCAAGACGGACACTCATGGATATTTTAAAAGAAAAGCCCAAGTGGGATGGAAATGAGAATTTGGACCTAGGGTCTATTTTACTACTTGAACTATGTTATATTCACAACAGTGGCTAGATAATAGGTTAAGCTCTGTAAAGGAATTGAGGAAAGTACAGTCCAATTGAGGAGCGTCCAAAAAGCCTCAGGTTTGGTCGAGGATCAAATCATGTTTCATGAACAACACAYTCGAATTTGGACTAGGAGAATTTACCCACTACACAGAAGACAGAAGAAAACTCAACATGGATGYAAAGTTCGACGAAGAACACAAAATAATTTCAACCCAAAACCTTGCTATTCGATTGTTCCACCTTAATCAAAGCCCATACTTACTTTTTTGCTGCACTAATCCTCTTGTAAAGGGCTTGCCATGGTGGTGAAAGGGAGATGATAGAGAGAGCTCGACCAAGCAATCATGGAGTCAGCTGCTGAAAATCCCATCAACACAACCTGCAATAGTGTTAGAGATATCACAAAAACTAAATACAGAAGATTGGAGATTGGAGTAGTACAGTCTATGGTTTTGAAACCAGTGAGYTTAGAAGGATTGAGAAAGTTGAGTTTGTCACCTAAAGCTGCTCCTCTTTTGCAGCAATGGCGAAAGCCCGTTTTCTTTTATCTCAAATTGATACACTATCAAGCACAGGAGGACAGTGAATCATAGATTGAAGGAACATTCAAATTTCCCCATTCGTAAAACACAGAGATTACTACAACACAACGTTTCAAAAATCTCCCCCACGAAAAAATGAGGGATRGAATTCAAYCTTACAAAACGAATCCCTTCAAGTACTCAGGATCGCGCTTGGATTTCTCCTGAAACTTCTTGAACCATCTGTCCAGGATATCCATCGGCACAACCAACTTAGATCCATCAACACCGCAGAAAGATTGCATGAAATTAAAGAGATTTTCTCCAACTTTTAGAGCCAGACGCTCGATTCGCTTTTCGGCTGTGACATCAAGCGAGGGCAGGGAAGCCAAATCCTCAACGGAAACTCCAATTTTCGCCGAGAGAGGGGTCGAATCGGCCGCCATGAGCTGCATCTGACCGCCGGGCTCCGGCCACGGAAGAGAGAGCACCGCCGAGGGCCTGGCTAAGGTCACGGCACCGCAGAACAGAAACTGAGACCCAGGGGACTGAATATACACAGCTAGGGCTTTATCGGGAGGAAGAGTGAAACTATTCAACAAGAATATGCACATTTCACGAATTTGATCGTACGCTTCACCTAATAAGACGATTACGAATCCGGATTAGGGTTTTGAAACAGAGAATCCAAACAGAGCCAAAAATCGAAATGGAATCCGTACCTACGAATGTGTTCATGTCGAGAACCCAATGGAAAGTGTCGATCTGAGAGAAGGCTGAAATGTCCATCGGAAAGCTTCGATTAGGAAAGACGACGCCGAACATCTTCGATTTTCTCCGGTTGCGACCTGCGTTGAGAGATGAAACGGGGAACCGGCGACGGAGTAGAAGGCGACGGAAATGGCGGTGAAGTGAGATTCTCCGATGGGRCTCGTCGGCTCGATCGGAGAGAGTATATGATCAGGGAGTGTGGAAGATTCCAGTAGAATCTAGAAGGACTAAGGGATTGGGTCCAATGACCTCCATGAAACTCTTCATGGACTCCCATTTCTTCTACTTTATTCTCTATTCTTCTAAATTTCAAGGTTTTTTTTTCTCTCTCTCTCTGGAATTGGAATTGTTTTTAGGGTAAAATTTTACGTAAAGTCAATTTTTACTTTATTCATTTTTTTTTTAATATTTATCGAATAGCATCGTTCGTCCACTTTTAAAATGGTAATAGATATTTTGTTTACAACATTCACTAGTCAATCTTTATTTAAACTTGGATAATAAGAGAAAACTAAAYCAATATACTATGGTTAGACCTGTGAGTCATCCTATGACAGATTATATGTTTAAATCTTCGTTCCTTGATTTGGATGTAATATTCAAATAAAAAATTTAATTTTTTAGTTCAATAACTTGTGAGGTTTGAATTTGACACTGAAATAAATCAAAGTTAAAAGTACACGAAATAATATAAGACTCGAACCAACCAAAGTGAAAAAAAGGCTCTTTCTAAGATGGTAGGAAATRGAAGAGTTACAAATTTTTTAAAATTCATAACATTTTAAATTTTCATACGATGTATTTAAATTTTAAATTTAAGAAAGAACAAAGAGTTTACTTAGTTTAACAAACAATGAGTGAAAAGTTTAATTTATGACAATATGACAATACTTTAGAGGAGGTCGGACGAGACAACAACAATTGTAAGAATAATCTACGTGAATGTAGGGAAGTTAAGTGGTGATTGGTGGTCTTGTAATTCGTTCCATTACTACAAGCTAYACTTGACCGATTGTTTCCTACTCTAAATAAGAATATTGAAGCTTATGATAGAAGACTTTTATTTATTAAATAGGAAAACATATAAGCTTTTTTATTTGAGAAGAGAGGTTAAGTTACTATAAATACCTCTCCAACCCCACTTTCARTATACAATTCATACAACCTATACAACATATCTTCTATCTTTTTTAGATTCTCATTTTCTCTATTTTGTTCTTTTAAGAGCAATTGGCCAAAAGAGTGATGTTATTTGTTGTGAAGTTTTGAGATAAATATCTAGATGCAGATAGTGGTTTTTTTTTTTTTTGACAAAAACGGAAATATCTTTACTAAAATAAAACACCATAAAGGGCAAAATTAGACAGAGGGGGAAGACTCTCCTCCCTCAGCAACCACGAAGGGAAAATCCTAACCCAACACATCGATTCACGCCTCAACAACGCCGATTTCGCCACAGATGCAGATAGTGGTTTGAGCTCTACAATGTTTCGRTTGGGTTGTTATACATTAGAGGGGAGAGGCCAGAGAATATTTGCTGGTGGTTGATAAAAAAAATATACACGACAGAAAGTTTAAATCTCCTTAAAGAGGACGAGATACATGCACCCAACCTAATTGTTTAAGTGTTTGTTTCTCAATATTTACTCTAATTACTTCTAATATTTGTAATTCCCCAACAATTTTAAGGAGATTTAAGATGGAGTCTACTATTGAAAGACCTAATGAGAATGTTAAAGATCTCAACMAGTCGTTTCGATGTACGAGGTCATTCTTCGTTTCTCAGGCTACTTCACATTGAACCATGGGATCCCCAAGTATTGGATTTTTATGCATTACATTTCGCTTTTTCATATCTGRGTAGCATTCAACTTTAAATTGCAACGTCCTTGAGTTTTTAGATATGTGGAACGAGGGCGGTTCTAGATTTGTAGAAGTCGTTCCATAGAACTAAAAGAGATCTTCATTCTCTATCCCTTTGCTCCCCAAATCTGAAACCAAAAGACTTTTTTTGGTTACAACATCCCTTCATTTGACGATAGCGACGAAGTACAACATCGATGACGAGGTTGACGAGGTTGGAGGAGGTGATGGAGACGACAACCAATGACAAGGAAAGCAACAATGAGTTCACCAAAGGGATAAAGGAAGATCAAAACAAGAGAAGATGATCCAAGAGTCCGGCCGTCAATAAATAATATTAAATTAATATATTAGCAAAATACAATCACCAATTTAACTGTCATGTTTACCTTGGTCTGATGGAGATAATTTAGAATAATTTTCTAAATTTTATACATTAAATTCTTTAAGAAAAAAAAGGTGGGTAAAGATTTCAATTCACACGGACTTTTTTCTTAACCGGTTGAGCTAAACTAATCTTAACCAGATCCGCTAAGTGTAGGTTAATTTATTATTTACTTTTCCCTCAAATTTATTTTGAAGCCGAAATTCCCATTTCTCCTCCTCCTTCGTCCTCAGTCCGTACTCTTCCTTCCCTAGTTTTCTTTCGCCGCCGGTGCTGCCTTACCAACGCCGCCGGCCGGACGTTACTGCCGCCGACCTTCTTCTGCTCCGCCACGGACGCCGCTTCCCATACATCCAGGTAAATTCTTTATTTATCAAAACTTATCTCTCTCCCCCTAAATTGGGGGAATTTCGAGGATAATGCATTGAGTCACTGATATTCTTAGAACAATCAGCACAAGGATTCAGTAGCAGATAGGAAACTAGCTGGGAGAGATCGGAAGTAACAATGGCAAGCGCACCCGCTCAAATTCCCACCAGTTTTGGGCACGAGCTCAGAGCTTGTCTTCGTTGTCGTCTCGTCAAAACTTACGATCAGGTGACCTGCTGCGGTCTTTTCTTATTGAGAAGCTTTAGATATCATTATGAATGCTTGCGTTGAATCTTTAGTTGTTTAAGATCTTTGAACTTTTAGAATTGTTTATTTTATTGAGTATTGATTGTTGATTATGCTTACAGTTTCGAGAATCGGGCTGTGAGAATTGTCCCTTCTTCAAGATGGACGAAGATCATGAGCGTGTTGTAGAGTGTACTACTCCTAATTTTAATGGGTTTGTAAATTTTTCTTGTTCTATTGTCTTCTTTGTTTGTGTTAATATTTGTAGTTTTTCATGTAACTATTTTAGTTTCATCGAACTTTTGATGATATGACGGACATGATATATAGTTTCAGTTATTTCTATTGATTTCTTCAAATTTTCTTCACGGAGCTTTTTTCTGCTTCAGCTTCTCCTACCATCGTTTTTTGTTTTCCCGTTTGTTTTTCCTTTTTATAATGTGCATGACCGTTATGGAGTTTCTTGGCTTAATATTTTGTAAGCTACTGATTGGAGGTGAAGCCCTCAGTGGTACGAAGAGTTATTGTTATTGCACTTTTTCTTTTCTGTATCAAAATGGATCAAGGCAAATAACATGAATTTTGAATTAGTTGCACTACAATCTATGCATTTTCTCTAACGTCAAGAGTCTTAAGACAAAAGATGTTAAGCCACAAACATGAATTTTGAACTTCTATGAGCCAATTGATCTGGTCGTTTTCTATGTCTCACTTTCTTTTTGTATTTCTTTCTTCAAGTTTACCTTGTTAATATGAATTTATTGTATTACAATCTGTGCATTTGTGAAGACAGTATAGATTAAGCTGAAGAACATGAATTTTGAATATATTGCATTACAATCTGTGCATTTTTTCTAACGTSAAGACAAAAGACATTAAGCCTGAGAACATTATTTGTTAATTTATGTAGGCCAATTGATATGGTCTTTTTTTTTTTTAAATTATAACAAGTTAAAGTGAAAATCTTATAGTAAAAATGTTTTAAAATCACGATTTTAAGCTACTTGTTATATTATTATTGAGCATAAAAAGATTCAACCAATATTACAAGATTTAATATTCAGCTGATGGTCATGATATCTATGTTTTTGTTTTTAACTAATTGTTCTGTATTTTACTTCCATTTGTTGTACCATTTTGAATCTCTTGCAGGATAATTTCAGTCATGGATCCTACCAGAAGTTGGGCTGCTAGATGGCTGCGAATTGGTAATGTCGACTATTACTATACAYGGCTCTTTCTTCTTTCTTACCCCTTCCCATTTACTTTTTGTAACTAAAGAATAAAGACTTAATACATCTGTTTGAAGGTAATATTAGTGGTCACCTGTCGATATTTTGTTTCCTCTTTCCTTGAATGCAATTACCCTTGTAGATAAGAGTATATGACAGGTGACAATGGTRCCCTTCATGTTTTATTTTCCAACAAATTGCTTGTTGGAAAAGAGATAARATGGAAAAATATTACCATGAGAATTTAAATGATCAGAATTTTAAGAAAATCGTTCTAAAAATGTCTCTTGTAAGTGGTACACAAGTGAGCTTGAATTTACTTAGACTGTGGCAAAATTCCTTTAGAATTTCATCAGATTTGGCATTTAAGTTTGGAATTTATACTTGCAGGAAGATTTGTCCCAGGTTGTTACACTCTTGCAGTCTCAGAGGCCCTCCCAGAGGATTTGCAGGTTTGCAATCATTACCTAGCACAAATTTAACCATGACCTGATTAGATGTTTCATTCTTCTGTGTTTATCATGTACGAATGCCATCAGAATACCTCTGCTCATTGGTTGGTTGGCTTAGCAATATCAGTACTTCCAGGGTTGAGCTCATTGTCTGCAATAGGTTCACCAGTTTTGCAATGATCATTGATYGGCCTCTGTCCTCTTCTCATCCGTGTTTCCAATCCTCTACTTCTCTTCACCAGTAAAGATGGTTGGTCAAGAACTTTGGAATTCACATAACCTTCCATGGGATCTTTATTATAATGAAAACTCCTCTAACATGGAAATTCAACTATCGCTCAGCCCTATAGCTATCATTTCCGCTTCCTCAGTTTCTAYGCAACACATAGAGAAGATTGTTGGCTTCGTCTTTATGTTAATTTGGGTCTTTCAACAACCAAATCTCTCTTCAATGATTTAGTCAAAGAACTTCCTATTCTTGATGGAATTTATTTGGCGTTCTGCTACTGGACAGAAGAAATCCAGAATAAGCATGCACATACGGTTATCTCCAAGCTGGTGCTCTCGTGCAGAGAAGATAGTGAAACACGATATCATTTTTTTACACTTGCTCTTTTGCTGGCAGAACCTAGGAAATTTTCTCCCCCTGTTTACAGTGGTCCATGGCTCTCCCTGCCAGGCACCATTGATAATCAACAGGCACTGCAACTGGCTTTCCTGACCTCCCCATTGCTACTGGTGGGAATGAACAAGGATGCCATTCTTATTTCTTCCTCTATATGGTTCCATAAAAATTTGACAGAAACTACCTCTCCTGCTTTGGTACATGAATAAGCATCAAGGCTGTTGGGAATCTCCTCTTTCTAAAGAAGAGATGACTGACAGACCAAAGCTCATTCCAATTCATCCCTAGTCCAAGCCACCACATCCAATTCGAGTTCTAGGGATGATACTCTTGATTGGCTTTACCCTAATATCTTAATGTTTCTCCCACCATTCTCACTGAAGGACTCAAATGATTTCTGCTCGAGAACAATCGAGGATCTTCCTTGCTCAATCTCTCTTGTTTCTCCTGATGCGCATTACCTGCACTTCCTAAGAAATTTTGAAGATCTGTTAGTTGATGGATTACAAGTAAGTTTTGGAGTAATCATCATTTTTGACGACATATATCTGCTGGCTTGAGTTCTAAAATCTTTTTGTAATGCTAAATTCCAAGTTCCAACCTTAATATATAAAGGATTGTTGTTGAACTGGTTTGGAGAACTCTTTACCTTCCCATTTCATAGGAAGGTAAGTTGTCTTAGAACGTTCAATTCTGTCAGGGATGTATGGTTAAGCTGGTCAGTGTACCCGTTCAAGTCTTTATTTATTTGTAATTGTGAAAAGGAAACAAGAATTTTGTTAAGCTCAATATGAAAGTATTAAGGCTGCTAAAAGTGCCAAAAGGGGTGAAAACGAAATCCAGAAAAACCAAGAGCCATACAACAAGGAGCTTTCCAAAAGAGTAACCCATTACGAATAACCAAGTGTACAACCAAGAATATGGAGAAGTCCTAAAAGAAGAGAAAGTGAAAGTCCAAACAGAAGAATTAATAATGTATTGAGGGCCACAATTCCCAACTTGGATGGTGCATCAACATATGGCCACGCATGTCCTTGAACGTTTGAAATTTTTTTAATTATTTTTAAAATTTTTTTAGATAAGAAACTTGTATATACCTACCAAAAAAGAGAGAGACAACCTATTGGCTGGGTAGAGAGAACCCCACCCAAGGACTAAGCAAAGCTTTCCTATTGTCCTTGAATGTTTGTAATTTCTAGACTAGTAGGAATCAAATGATAGCTGGTGATTATCCACTTCCAGTTCCTTCTCTGCAATTTCTCCTTTTTCTTATTTTACTTGTATTCAATTCTTTAAGGGGTTTCATAGTATTTGTTAATATCCAAAATAGCTGAGTACGTAGCAGCAAGTACTCTGGAGGGTAGACCAAAGTGGGAGCACATAGTGCCCCGCTTGGACAAATTCTATATCCTGGTGATGAAGGAAGGGATGGGAGGAATTTTTTGAAGCCCCCATTAATTATATTCGAAATCTAGCCATTTATATGCACRAACACGATTTTTTTGTGTCATATCTTGTACATCGAAAGGCATGACATGAACTGTTCTAGTCCCGTAGTTAAAATGTTTCATTCTCCAAGGTTGTTCTGATATGTTCTACACTCTTGTTTTCTGCAGAATTTATGTGAAGAGGAGCGTGTGCAATATGCACCACCAAAACGCGTATGACTGTATGTTATCTCTGTCCCGTCTCAATTTAAAAGAAGTCTTCCTTGTTCATGTATTAGTATCTTTAGTTTGACTAGCATTTAGTATGTGACGTCTTTTGGAAGAAATTAACAGGAGTATTTGCTAACATCTTGCATTGTACATCTTAATTTGCTTCCCCTTGCACCTTTTTATTGCCCATTAAGATACTGATTCACTAGTGGAAGAAGTTGAATTGGAGTTGCATAGGACACCGGTTTGGTTTACTTTTAACAGCAAACATGGTTATTGTCGCCAGAATATTTTGGTTGGTTGAGGAGAAAATGTGTTAGCATACGAAAAAATGGATTGATTTACCGAGAGATATCACGTGTATAATGATTGACAAGATGTGATCCATGATTAATGGAAGTGCAGGAAGTAGCATATCTTTCAAGAAAAAAGTGTTGCTTACAAGCAAGGTATTCGTTACAATTGCTTGCGAACAATATTGATTGTTTAAAATTCTGTGCTTAATGCACTGGGCAAAAAAGGTATTTTTTTTCAATTATGGTGTAATTTAATTACTATTTAGGCAATATCAACCTCATTTACGGTGGGTTGATCGAGTTTGGAAGGCTCTTCTTCAGCTAAAACTCTTTAAAAAAATGTGAATTATCGGGTAATATTATATCTTTTTCGTTATTTTTTCTTTATAAGTTGTAGTACCAACTAATTCATATGCCATGTAATGCAGCTTCAAGCAGATGTTTGGTTGATGAAACAGTTTGATGACTTGAAAGAATGAGATTGATGAGAATGGTAAATGGGTGATAATGTTTTGAAAGAAGGCTCTTATTACAAATAAGTTTGAAATGAAAAGATATTTACATAAGAGACCCATCTGTTTTGAGTTAGGGCACATTAAAAAAAAAAAAAACTAGTTTGGATTATTGGTATTACTAATTTTTCTCTCATGTTTGTGCCTGCAAGTGTCAAAAAAGACCAGTTTGGTCTCTATTATGATTAATAAGTTATGAATTTTTAAAAAATATCAAATAAGTCTTTAGACTTATGATCATGTGTTTAGTAGGTTCTTAAACTTCAAGAGATTTTAAATTTGTGTCTAATARATAAATGATTTAAAAAGTATTTAGTAGGGCTGGAACTTTCAAATATGTGCTTAACAGGTTAGATATTTATTAGATATAAAATTAGAAGTTCGAGATCTATTTGATATTTTTTAAAGTTCAATCGCTTATTAAATACAACCCTAAAATTAAAGGATCTATTAGACATCTTTTTAAGTTTAGGGACTTATTAGTAACAATTTTGGACAAAATAGGCAATGAAGATCCAAGAACTCATTTACTATTACATATTTTTCAAAGCTAGAAAAAAAAAGGTGCACCTAGATGAGAGAAGAAATTCATTTTTCTTTGATGTTTTGAAGGATTAACATGTCGAAAGAAACTCAAAACCAAGTTGTCCATACTTTTCTTTAATCCAACAAATGTAGGATGGAGATCAAATAGGCGTGTAAAGTATTAAACTATGCTCGGATTAAYTGAAGTTGCACACCTTAGTGTACAAAAATTTGTATTTTCTTTTATATATGTTGCTACTAATATGGTCAAGAAAGGAGAAAGATATGCATTTAGCACAAGTGAAAATTTTCTAATTATTAATGATATGGATCTTTCTCGTTATTACATAGGATCCTAAAAAAAAAAAGAATTTGTATCTTAAAAAAAAAGAAGGTTTCTTAAAAAATTGTAGAAATTGTTATACTTTTGAATATACAGTTCAAAAAGAGTTGCTCATTGCAAACTTTCGTAAACAAATTTGGGTTGAGAATAGAATTGACCTAAGGTCCCGTTTACTTATTCTCAATAAAAATCAATTCATGGTGCTTACTTCCATCTGGAATTGTAATAAGACATATGCCGATTACCAAAATATTTTTATATATTTATAACTAATATAAAATTACATTAATTAAAAAGGATTTTATGACATATTTTATATTGAAAAAAAAAATACTTATAATAATTTTTAGATCTACTTATATTATTTTACTTAATARTAATAAATTATATATTTTGTATTTTAAGTCTATTTTTTTAACACTTTATTTGATATTATTATTACATTATTTATTATAATAAACTTTCTTTTACCAATTCAATCTAAAATTAAATAATTTTATAATACAAACAATTATGAGAAGAGGAAAAGCGGCAATGGAGCAGTTGAAAAAATAACCCTATTTAGAGTGTGTCCCACGTTTTAGCAGGTAAACGACGTCTAAATTCATTATTCGTTAACAAAATCTTTTTTTAAGTTATGATAAAACTACACATGCTTATGCCAAATTTACTCTCCTTTTATTCAATATTTTTTTTTCTTGAGCAATTTTTTAAAATAAAAATTTTAAGTCACTACAGTATAATTTTTTGTAAAATAAAATATATATGGTTTGTCWCTATTTGGTACTTAAGTTTCAAAATCGAATACAATTATCTTTTTAAATATATATATATATATTACAATATGTTGGAGCGAGATTTCGAACTTACACTTTTTAAATCGGAGATAGGTATTTTAAAGTTATATGTTGACAAACAAAATGACAAGTAACAATATTGACTTAATCCATCACGTTGATGTGATAAAAGAAAAATATTTATTTTTCTAATATTTTATGGTGACTACATAGAAAGAGAGGGAGAGACTGCGACATCCCTTAGTGAAATATTATAAAATAAATATTTTTGCCACATTCTTATCTCATGCACTACACACAAATGTAAAAATGTTTGATTTAACCCCTAAGTTAAGAATCAACAGGTATTTAAGGTGTCTCTATCTCATAGATTAAGCTAATCATTTTCTAAAATCATTTCTATCTCACTTATCGTACCATTTTATTTTAAATGAAATTAATTCTAAACATGTCCTATCAAAATTGAAAATTTAAAAATATTATTAATTTTATTTAAAATATGAAGACTAAATATATATAGGTGAAAAAAAGCAACAATTAATTAAAAGAAAAAGAAGCAGCCTAACTCAATCAAGCATATATCCTTGTAAAGAAAGRTGGGAGGTTGAAATTCCCAAACAAAAAAAAAAAAATTTATAATAATAATTCCAAGCATTGACACGTGGATATTTACAAAAAGTTTCTTTTATTTTAAAAATTTTCCAAAAATATCATTTTTCAGTACTTTTAAAAATATGTTGATACTAATATTTTATCGATATTTTCTTCCGACATTTCTATATTTAATTTGAGACTTCCACATTTCTATCGATATCTCTATTCAATTTCAGTGACAGTGATGGAAATATTGAGGTCTATTACCTAGATAAATATTTTTATAAAAATTAGAAAAATTCAAAATCGTAAAAAATGTTTAAATTAACAAATAAATATTTTTCTATTTTTAAATAAATTAAAAAGAATAAATATTAATATTAGTGATGAGTGATGTTCGACAAATTTCCTTAACCTAGACCTACCCCGTGTGTGTGTGTCTCTCTATCTCTCACATTTCCGGAGTCTATTTTCAGCATATGGTCACCCGGAGATTTCCCGCCCCTCCCTGAAACTCTTCTTTTCTTCAAATTGAGTCCAAGTTGTTCCTGAATTCAGTAGTTGAAGTTGTTCAATCGTCGACAACAATGGCGGAATCTATTTGCAGAGCACTTAGGGACGGCGCGTTGGAGGGAGAGCTTGCCCCTGCTCTCACTATAAAGGACTCCATGGATTCGCCATTCGGTTTTCACGCCTTTGCTCACCTTCTTGCGCAGCTCTCCATCAATATCTTGGCGGGTAAATCGCAGTCTCGGTTAGTTCAATTCCCTTGTAGAGGAAGTCATTTAGGGAATTGAAATTGTTTAGCTTCGGCGGTCGTTTTGATTTTTCTTTCCTGGTTTGATTTTGATCTCAGGGGCCTCGTTCTACTCGCGTTCTCTCGAAGTCCGGCTTATTATGTCGACCTGTTGAAGAAGAGAGGAGTTGATGTTGGGTCGTCTGATAAGTGGTAAAGTTATCTCTGCAAATTCTTACATCGTTGCTTCCTTTAACAGTTCAATCAAGGAAATAAACCTTTTTAATTTAGTTAAGAAGGTGGTTTTTTTTTTCTAAGAGGTTTAATTCTTTTTTTTTTCCTCGAAGATTAATGCCATGCGGGAACAAGTACAGCAAATATTTCCTTCATTTAGTTGATTGCCTGCAGAGAACTTAATTTTGTTAATGTCAAAGAAATAAGAGCAAATGCAAAGGAGGCTCGTTGACATAAAATTTATTAAATTGCTTTGTCATGTGATATGAGATAATCTAAACAGCGTTAGTTCTTGCAGTCTCAAAAGAATGAGGGTCCTGACACTCGAATTATAATGGCTGGTTGACTTTGATGCAAGTGAATATAGTATTAAATTACTATATGCAAATGATTAAGTGGATCCATCAATATTAATATTAAGTGAAGCTGCCAGTTCGTCCAACCTATTTGGATTCGTTTCTTTGAGGTCTTTGGGGGTTTCTTTGGCTCTTAATAGGAGATGTGTAGGACGATGATGGAGGAGGTGTTGCTCTACCCCGTTTTGGCATAGAGGAAGGCTGTTGTGGTAGGCTTATTTTTTTATTTTTTTATTTTACTATTTTGTGGGGTGTTTGGCTTGAGAGGAATAGCAGAATTTTTAAAAGGATCAGGCCGTGGGAGGAAGTTTGGAAAATTATTAGATTTAATTCCCCCTTTAGGGTGTCGTCGGTTTTGAAGGATTTTTATAATTATCAGTTAGATGTTATTCTTTTTGATTGAGACCCCTTCTTTTATGCCGGTCTCCTTTTGTCATGGTTTTTTTGTATGTCCTTTTCGTACATTCTTTCATTTTCTTTCGAATCTTTCCACGAAAGCTCGGTATCTTAATAAATAAATAAATAAATAAATAACTATATATATATATATATATTAAGTGGAGTGGAAATGACACTACTAACAACCTTTGTTCCTTACCATGAGGGACACAATGTGTGTCCTTGATATTCTTCAGCTTAACTTGAATTTATAATGGAAAAGACTAGCACTCTTTCATATTTCATATTTCGTATAAATTATTTCTCTTATTTTTCTTGTTATTTTTGAATCAAGTTCATTTAACTATATTTGTGTTATAGGATTCAAATTTTGGACTGTTATACAGATCCTCTTGGTTGGAAAGAACGGTTAATGGAGGGTGAAAAAGTTTCAAATGTTCACCAAGAAGTTTCATCTTTATCTAATCTTTGTACAAATGTGAGGGATATGGATAAACTATTCTCCTCGATTGTTGCACTTGGAAAAGGTATGACTATAATCTTAATTGAGAGTATGGCAGTGGAGATCTATAGTGATTTTGGTCTTATTTTGCAAGGAAAAGTTTACGATTTAAATTTTAATGTTCTAGCAGGATTTGTTGGAGAAGGAACTGTACGCTTTTGTGTTGCCATAGATTCTGTATGTTCTTTCTCTCTTTCATGACATGTGGCATGTCATGTTTTGAATGTGTAATGAACCTATTGTTAGTACTATCTATGAGCAGACTTGAGTTTCACACCGTCCTGCTAATTTCTTTTCTTGTGCATATCATTTATTAAATGTAATTAAAAATATAAAACTGTCAAGGAGGATTCTCCTTTCTCAACAGAATATTTATTTTCTCCCGCATATTACTTATTAAATATAATTTATATTAATACTATCAAATTGTTAAGGAGTGCTCTTCTTTCTAGGTTTTGCATTGAATATCGATACTTCCTTTCTTGGTTGAGACGTGGGGGCATGAAATATGTATAATAAACAATGTGAATTGTCTGTTGAGTCTTTTCGTTTTTAGTTCAGTGCAATTCAGATTCCATAGGGATAAGTTTGGCTTGTCCTGTACATTTTTGCTCTTTTCTTGATTTCCATTCATTACTAACCTGAATGTTGTTACTTTTATTTTTTCGTTTTGACGCATTGTTTTGAAATTTTACTAGGTAACTGATATGTTGAGACATTCATCTACATCAGCAGTTGCAGGTCTTTTAAGCAGCCTTCGGAGCAATGGTATGAATAAGATATATTTGCCTTTCAAATTTTTGCTGCTGAAATAAATCTAATCTCATGAGTTGTGATTGATATTTCTTCACTTGATAGCTCTTATTCTGAACGATCCAGTTTTAACTCTTGTTACACGATTTTAGATAAGGTTTCAAGTACATTTTGGTTGGTACATGAAGATCTTCATGAGGAAAGGGTGATAGCTGCTCTTGAATATATGTCCTCCATTGTGGCATCAGTTGAGCCATCGACTCCATCCCCATATGTGCATAGAGGCAATCTGGACAACTCCTATCCCGAACACAACTCTACAAATGGGAGGTTTCATGTGCGCTTTAAACGCAGAAATGGACGTGTCCGAATCATTGTAAATTCTCTACTCTTAGCGAAACTTTTGGTATTTACATGTGAAACTGTTGGTTAACCACATATTCTTGATGTTCTATTCTTAGTGTGAAGATTTCAAAGTTGAGCACTCAGGCATCATCAAATTTACGTCCATTTTATCTGAAGATGCAATCATCAATCAAGGACTTATTCCAAAGGTCGGTTTATCTTGATTTTGAACCCTCAGTGTTTACCGAAAWTTGATTCCCCAAAATTTTAGATTTATCAAACTTGAGATTTGTAGTAAAAGGAATCATATTGTCTATATATCATATGCATGACAAATCTATTTTGTAGATATATAATATGAATGATTCTATAGTACATCAGTGTATAAATAAAATAGTTTTTTTAGATAAAAATATGTGAGATGTTGATTTGCAATTACAACATTTCATATGAAAATATTAGATTTGTATAGGTATGTTTTATTGTTCRTCCATGAACGGTTTGATAGTTCGATAGGATGCTGAAACTTGATTGACATGTGTATGCGTAGGTTGCTCCACATAGTTTTTCTTGCATGGGTTGTGAAGAACTTAAATTTGTTCTGGTTCTAAAAGTTTAGATGCACAAATAATGGGAGTTATTTTTGTGGAAATTCTCTCTTTCCCCCTTTTTCTTTTGGGGGATCACTTGCACATCTTATGGTTTACTTTTATTTCTGATACGCCCGATCTTTCCGAACTACTACTATAGCTATTGAAACATTTTTTTTCATAAATTTGCATAAATAAAGAACTGGTGAATGGATATTCTTTCTTCTTTCAGGTCCATTTCAATCTACAGTTGTCAGAGAAAGAGCTAATGGACAGGGCAAAAGTTGTTCTTCCTTTTGAGCATCAAGGTTCGGATTCTCAATGCTCTATCTTTGCATACTACAAAACGATTTTGACTTGAGTTGATCTATTATCCAGATGGTTAACTCCTGACCCTGCTGTTCTTTCTTGCTTACGGTTTTCTCTTCATGATGTTCGGTTTTATTATAGGAAATGGCAAACCGATACAAATATACGATGGGCGAAGATCTCTTACCGAAAGCAAAGAAGACGACAAACCCCTCCTGACCAGTGAGAAAGGCAAGGATGAAGGATCAGGAAAGGGTGAGATCGTATATTTCCGCGATTCAGACGATGAGAGGCCAGATTCTGATGAAGACCCAGACGAGGATTTAGACATATAATTTTGATCATCCATTTTCAGAGGTAGAAAGCTTTGTCCCTTCTCTATCTTTTTGTAATTGAAAATGTGTATTACTAGTTTGTATTTAAGGACTTTTTTTTTCAACCATATGAATATTTAAGGGATGCATTTATCAGTTTTCAAGGATTTGTTTTCATTAGAAAYCAACGTAAATCCTTTATCGACGAAGAACCAAACTCGTAGATCGAAAATCAGAAGGAATCGACCAATAGAATTTATTCTATACCCACAAGGATAACAGTGCAATCTTTTTTCCATAGATGCTCTGTTCTCTCAAAAGCAAATATGGGGAGCTTGTAACTGAATTTTTTTTTATTTAATTTAATTTTTTTTTGTAGAATTTGAATTGCTTTGAATTTTTTACAATGCCATATGCCCCATCACGAAATAGGGATGAAAAAGTATGAAGTAGCTTTCAATTGCACAAAATATGAAGAAATATATACTCTCTTTTTGTTTATTGATTATATATATTGAAAAAAAAGTTCCATTTTATCCTATCTTATCAACTTACAATTTTTAATTTAATGATGATTTAACAGTTTCAAAAGTTAAAGCCCCAAAAGGTTACTTTACACAAAAGGAATTTAAAAAATAAATTTACTCCACAGTGCTTTTGATTGTTAGTGGATATATATAATTATTCTACCTTTCTAACTTTGTATTCTCAAATAATAAAATAATACTAATAATAATTAAATTCATGTGAGCCTCCCCTCCTCTCTCGAACTAGGATTCTCTCTCAGATATTCAATCTATTTTCTTTATTGTCATGCTCCAGTGCTAAGGTATATATCTTCGACCAAAATATTGAAAGTTATTGAAGCTGGCTTCAATGTTGAACTAAAAACATATTGGATCAAATTCCACGTCCCAACACCTTTTGAGTGGAGAACAAAATAGCATAAAATAAATATATTTCAAATATGGTAAAAAGTTTGAAACTTTACAAAAGAAAAAAAAAAAAACTCAAATATACTGAGAAAAACGATAATTATTTTTTTAATACAACAAATGTGWGATCTGAGAATCTAGACTTCCAACCTCAATATTATGCTATAGAGGGAAATTTCTAAAGCAAAAAAAAACTCCAAATTTAGTAAACTATTAATAAAATATTAAATATTTCTAAAATTAATTATTTATACCAGTAAAAAAATACACATTAATTTTGATATTAAAATAATATAATTCTATTAAATTTGTATTTTGAAAAAATTAATAGAAAACATAAAACCAATAATTTTGTTCCATGGAAGACCTTGATCCTCTAATTGAGATTCTCCAATCTTGGCTCTTATTTTATAAATTAGAAATTTAGTTTGGGATGGAGATGGAAAAAGAAAAAAAGAAAGTTAGAATCGAGAAGGATCAAAGTGTATCTCTGACAAGTTGTGTCATGCCTAAACCAAGTCCATTACGATATCAAAATAGAAAACATGTTAAGTTCTAGGTCAGAGACACACAATGTAGCACCGACATAAAATAAAAAAATATACACAAAATATTTAAAAAAAKCAAAATTTTATAATAAGAAAAAAGGATATCATATTAGATTCCCTTGACCCTTGGAGTCTAGAAAGAACATTTTGTCAATAAAACATTTTAAATTTCCCTCTCTCTTAGTAGTAACCATATAATGTCTCCAAAAGAGGGGAAAAAAAAGGTTAGCATATAATATTTGCACACCAAAGCACATTATTTATCTTAAGCTCTAGAGGCCTAGAGCCTAAGCTACTTAATTATTTTAATGCTCAACAAAGACTATTAAATTAAATCCTAGTCATATAATAGAAAATATATTAAAAGATAAGAGGCAAAAACTAATAAATTACAAAAAAGTACAAAGAAATTAGGTAAAGGGATAATTATTCCATAGAAGAGGAAATTAAAATAAATAGGGAGAAAAAAAATGGACCACTCTCACTTCTATATAATTAAAACTTTGAGACTTTGGAAGAGAAAAGAGAGATATGGCAATGGAGATTGTTTACCACCTCCCTCAAAGGCTTCCAATATTCTTTACATTTTGCAATGAGAATACCAAAGTATGGAATGTTGGAAGCCCACGAGGGAGGTTGAAAAATTTCCTCCCTTTGTGTTAAAAGAAAAAAATGATAGCTAAATTTTCGATGGTAGCTGTCATCTCGATCATAATTTTGGTTATAGTAGAAGATTGTATAGTTAACTTTAAGTTTTTCTTACGTGCATTTTGCTTGTTTATAGTTAACTTCGAGTCTTTCTTACGTGCATTCTGCTTGTTTTGATTCTTTAGATGTTGGAGAAACCCTCTAAGGAAGACTCAAATCTAAGCATGCATTTCTTTTATCCTTTCATGCCTCATATTTTTCATTAYGTGTTGTGCGATGAAAATTCCCAAATCAGTTAGAATGGGGAAAATCATAAGCTCTGTCTATTTTTGATTTTCTGACAGATTCCAAGGRTAAAACTAACGTTGACTTAACTTTCAAATGGATTATGAAGATATATTTTTATTTCTCATCGACTTCGTAAAACAAAAGATGAGATGATGTTGAAAATCAAAGTTTTTGGTCTAAATTAATTATATATGATGCCAAAGATGTGCTTGTTTGTTTGTAAAATTTTCAGGTTGATTAGCCATGGAGATTGATGGATCACTTTATGTAGGAAGCATTTTTGGACTTCTTCTTAGGTATGATCTGATATTATGGGCGCTATTTTATTCTCTTGTATGTGAATTTAATATTCTTTTGATATTATGTGTATTTTTTTTTCATTTTATCTTCATATTACACAGTCTATCTTAATTAGTTTCTTCTTTTTTAGTTTATAGTTTTATTATCCACCTCAACTAATTCATGTGACTTTAATTCAATACATATTTACTTTAATATATTAATGCACSTAATATATATATATTTTTAAAGAAATTGATACATGTATTTGAAATAACGTCATCCAACTATTAGACAATTTAGAACAAAACAAATTTTTTTTTCTCAATGTAATAATGACTAAAAATTGTGTAGAATTTTTGGAAATAACAATATTATGGTTTTTGTTTTTTGCTCATGTTTATAGTTTTTTTAAACATAAATTTTATTATTAGTCGGGGGAGATTCAAACATATGATCTTTTATTCGGAAAAATATATCTTAACCCATTTAACTAGTTCATGTTAGGTAAATAAATTTTTTTTTTTGGGAAGAAAACTAAATTTTATTGTTAATGATTAATCGCTTTTTAAATCTAATTGGAGTCAATGGCAAGCGCCACAAGTCTTTGGTTTAGATGTTGGCTCTAATAATTTTTTTTTTTTTGAGTTCAACTAAAGTTGAGAACTCAAATGTCTAACTTTTAGAGATGCGGATGATGGATTGACCAGTTGAGCTATATTCATATGTATGTTTTTAATAACTAGAAGCCTAAGCTTAAAAGTAATTCATATCATAATGTATCTCACAAGTTTAGGTAAGCATGATTCTAGAACCATATCAAATTAAAACTAAGATTGAAGGTACGATATACTCTTATTCAATTTTATTCTTAGTATATTAAAAATTCTTAATCAAGTTAATTCATAAAATATTTGTTAACAAAAAAAATTGACTTTAATTTATTGTTTATTAATATATTTAGAAGCGTAGATTGCTATTCGAATGCTACTTTTTAAATGAACTTTAATGTACCTGGAAAATTTCTGGCACCACGATAATATCTACTCTTTTCATTTATAATTTGATGCATTATTAAGTATATATTATTTAATTTATAGGAGSTACTAAACCCAATCAACTGTGATATTAATATTATTGAGGAGATTGATGATATTMAAACACATTCTACGCTTGGATTTCCATGTTCTTGTTTYTGAATCAAGGAACCACCTACTAAATCTTGATGTTTCTTCTACAACATTGGCAATCCCTCCACCGCATTACTTTAAACTCAACTCTGATACTTCAGTGTTAGCTAAAAATGGAAATTTAGAAGTGTGGGTTAGAAACTTGCAGGACGATACAATGTTAATGGTAGAATCCTTTCTGACTATCACAGGTCCTATAGAACTTGTATAAGCGAGGTAGTGATTGAAGAGATCTAGAGGACGCATGAAGTTGATTTCATTTATTATGGACTAAGGTCGATTCCTTAATCATTTGGAAGTTTAATTTTTTGTTAATGACGAACAAGTGGCAAATGATCAACTCCAAATTTTTATCAACAACCTGAAAGACAGTTAGAGACGAGGTCACGTTGTTGCCCATGAGCTTGCATGTCGTGCTAGAAGAAACAAATGTTCGTAAATCTGGCCAGAGGACCACCCACTAAAAGATGCTTTCTCCTTCTTATTTTGTTCTGAATTTTAATGTTTGTACAAAAAATATACATTACAAACCATAGATGTAAGTAGTTGATGCATAATTTGGATTCATTTCTAATGTCAAACGCTCCGATGAACATCTACACATACAATAAATATTATTACCTATGTTGCTCAATATAGAGTTCGATCCCCACCCTCTAGGCAGCCCTAAGTTCTCAATTGCAAATTTTCACTCCTCTGAAGAACTCCCATGGCGCCAATTCCAGTTTAAATGGTTGTAAAATAAAAAAGAATCAAGAAAACTCATGAATTCCAACAAAGAAAAAAAGCTTTAATGATGTTTTTTTTTTTTTTTTACCTACAATTCATTATGAAAATACATTTTTCACAATCATTCTCGTCTTAACAAAATAAAAAAAAATGTAACATTTTTGTAAACTTTTAAGAAAAAGGTTGCAACATTTAGAGGCCAAGATGCACATGAACTCACCTCCAGACCACCATTTTGATATCTTTCAATTTTGGATTTCCATAAGAACCAAATTTTATGAAGCAATTCAATCTAATTTTCTCTCGCACATGCTTCTAACTTGTTGAACCTTCATTCACAACGATCACACCCGCTCAATCTTCAACCTCAATGAGAACACGAATTGCTTCCTCATTTTGCTTTGGATCTTTAGAAATTGATGTCATCGGAGCATATGGGTCCTTGTTGGACACCGACAGTCCTTTGGTCGAGGTGAGAATTGTTGAGAAYTGTTGAGAATGTGATCAAAGTCCCACATTGGTTAGGGAAAGAAAAGATGTTTGGTACATAAATTAGGGACACCATCTCATTAAAAKGAGGTATTTTGAGTGATACAAAAAGCAAAACACGAGGATTTATRCTGAAAGTGGACAATATCATATCAATATGRAAAAGACAGRYACATGATCCTGTCTTCAACTTGGGGTTTGATTCAGGTGTTCATGTTCACAATACTTAAATCAGTGCTATAAATTTTGGCACTGAAATATGAACTTTCTACCAAAACTACTAAGTACAAAAAAAGAATAAGTAGTGGGCTGAATCCAAATCGAGACAATTCAGAATCAAAATCAGTATAATCAAAATGATGATCATGTACCTGAGTAGAAACTGACATGACTGATTGTAAAGGCGCTGGAGGAATCAAATTCCTCAAATTGGCATCCTTGGAACTGAATTCCCTTCAGTAAAATCAATTGCAGATGCTTCTTCTTCGCCTAACAAGTGATCATAATCTGCTTCCATGAAACCGATCATTTCCATTTCTTCTGCAACTTCAATCTTATAACACAAGGCATCTAAACAACCTCAATTGATCTTCCGACAAATACTCGAGTCGCCGCCTGAACACTTGATCTGTTCCACACCATTCCAAATCTTAGACCTCTCTGCTTGGCACGGATCATCCAGGACATCAATCTCAAAGCTCAAACTCATCTCAAAACTTACAAGAGTTTTTTTCTATTCCTTWAACACCCAAAAAGGAAACAGAATCCCAGAATCTAAATCCACATTAAGAAAGGGAAAAAAACCAGATCAGAAATCCCCATAATCAGCACTGTAACTAAAACCTTGGCTCCTAAAAGCACCAAAAACAAGGAAGAATAAAAAAACTACACTTCACATTCTGTAACGAGATGAGTACAAATTTTGCCTGAAACATGCGCTATAGAAATTCCAGCGAACTTCTCTAGAAGGGGAATATTGCGTAGCGAAGTCAGCAAATTCATTTGCAAGTAAATACTATGTTACTTTTTCATTACTAATAGTCTAATAAATTTAGGAACCATTTAGAACTATTTATTAAATTCAAGGGACTAGAACTACCATTTTAAAAATTTAAGAATCAAATAGATACTCAGCTCAAATCTCATATACCAAAATTGTCCTTTTCCTATTAATTGTTAGTATCATGGCCATATCGAGGTAACTAACATACACAAAGAATGGTAATGGTAAGTGCATCTTTAAAATAATTCCATCTTTTAAATAATAATATATAGATGCCATTAATTAACAATAAAGACAATAATATTTTTGAGGGAACAAACATTGCACAGAAAAATTCTTATCAAACCAACCATATTATAAACAAGGCAACCACTATAGAAACAACGAATTTATCAAGGCAACCATCATACTAAGTTACCAATATTTTGAACTAACCAGCATATCAAAGAAAAATATATTGGTGAGTCATTATAGTAAGGCAATTAATATTTTAATGCAACGTTTGCAACCATTATAACACAAAAGTAATACTTCATGACAATCACTTGAATGGGATGCCCATATATAGAGCCAATCATTTCTAAGCTAACAGCCATATCAAGAAGGCCCACAATAATATCAAGAGCCCGTTATACCGAGCATGTACAATGAAACAATCAATATCTAAATGCAACCATTACACTAAAGAAATCAAGGCAAAACCATATCTCGGAACACCTGATATATCAAGTCAATAAATCTATCGAGGCAACCACATTGAAGTTGTTGATAAGCTCCAAGTGAAGAAGGTGTATTATTTGAGAAAAAAAGGAAGGGAGAGTGGAGCGTGAGGAAATAGAACGTGTGTTAGTGGACCCCAGTTTGTTAGGAGAGTTGTCTGGGTATTTTTGTAACTAGGGTAAATACACCCACGGTGGAAGGCAGTGGCATCTTTTTGTCATTTTGTCTAAGGACTATTTGAGAGAAGTTGGGGAGCTCTCTAATTATCCCTTGGCTCCTTGTAATGTCTTCTGAATATTAATAATAAAAGAGAGTTATATCAATTTGGTATTGGAGCACTGTTCCTGAGGAAGGACTAGTTGGAAAACAAATGGAAAATAGGATCGAAGCAGTGGAACAAAGGTTGTTCAAAGCTTTGAGTATCGTGGAGGAGAATCAGAATGAAATTAAGAAAGAGATGGCAATGCTTGAAGAAGATATGAGGTTGTTAATGGCAAGATTGCACAGAAACTGAATATTGATGAACAAGAGAAAGATGAAAGAGGATAAAGGAAAACGACCAACAACAAAAAAGGTATCAAAGACCGTTGGGGAAGCAAAGAATGGAGTCTCAAGTGATAGTTCAAACAGCTTGACCAATGCCTTGGCCCCAATTTTTAATTTGCGACTGCAAAAACTTGAAGGACCAATCTTTGAAGGGATTATGAATATCGGGGTATCATCAGATTCGCATATGTTCTGAGGACGTGCACAAAACAACCTTTCAGACTCATGAATATCGGGTTATTTCAGTGAGTACCAGAAATGGATTAACAAGTTGATTGGTTATGATTTTGATATTGAATACAAATCTGGATTGGACGATAAGGCGGCATATACCCTATCTCGGCTACCTAAATTGGTTGAATTTAGAGCATCACGATGGTTGGGAGCATCAGCATGGATATTATTATAGGTCAAGTGTTGCAGTACCCGAAACTCTCCACAATTGTGAAAGATCTTAAGGATGAGGCAGTTGCACTGAAGGGTTATTTGCTGAGTAAGAATATTCTGTATTATTAGGGTAATATTGTTAGTCCTCCTGACTCACCTTCCATTCCACTCATCTTACAAAAATTTCATTGTTATCCTGTTGGTGGTAGGGCATTGGAGACTATGGACAAGCAAGAACAGGGCCACGACCAAAGTAAGTTCAAGAAGGTCGAGATGCCATTAATTTTGGGGGAGGATCCTGAATCATGGTTGTTTAAGGCCGAACGATACTTCGATGTCTATAAACGGATGGATTTGGAGAAAATGAAGGTAGCTAATCTTAGTTTTGATGGGATTGCTTTGACTTGGTACAGATGGACAGATAACAGACAGAAGTTTACCAATTGGCCGGATAGCTTGAAAACTTAGATGTTTGAGCGTTTTTGACCACGAAGGACAGCAACCCAAGTGCGCTCATCTCCTCGCCATCAAGCAATACGGTACCATAGCAGATTACTCGCGCCAGTTTGAGGCCCTATCGACGCCGTTACCTCAACTAACAGACGAAGTGTTGGAAAGCACATTTCTAAATGGGTTAGACTCAGTGGTGCGAGCAAAGGTATTGGCCAAGAAACCAGTGGGATTGGACAAAATCATGATGAAGGTCCACAGTGAGCGAGGTGTCACGGTCATACATTTTTCAACCGCATGGAGCCATGATCAACCAACCTTACGGGAAACTCTAGCTCCAATCTACTTTTCACTCTCTTTGTGGCTTCGTCTGACTTTAAGCAAGGTTCTTTGTTCCTCGACCGAGCTTCACTTGCATGCAGAACTCTGACTTGTGTCAGCCATGCATGTCGCCTGCACGTGCATTTCAACTCTCTCCGCGACTCTAGCCGGCTTGCCTCTACTCTAGGCCAAGCCCCAAGGCTCTACCTTGCCTCTACACTAGGCCAAGGTCCTCTAAATTCGATGTCGCAACTCATTTCTAACCATCTTGGTTCTCGGCCACTCGGTTGGTCCCGCTTCTACACTGAGTCGGGACCTTACTAGGATGAGTTGACCTTTGACGGGATCAGAACTATCTTAAAACGCCAACTGGGTACTATCGGGAAATTCCTACTGCTTAACTACATCAAAACTAGCTTATCGGATGCCTCTAAGACATTCCTGCCGAGAAACTAGTAATAACGGGTTAAACAGCCTTACAGAGTACTATTGGGATGATTCTTGTTGAGATCTGGATAAAGAATGACTAAACTTGGCAACCGGGATGAGTCTTACCGCTTACTGGACCAAGACTAGCTTTTTCTCATTTACCGAATACCCACCGGTACTGTAGGATGCCACACCGAGCATCAAGATGTCATCGGGTTTCGCTGCTCACTTGGGCACACATATCGAGAATCGACCCATGAGCTTATATTAATGATCGGGACCTTTCGAACATCTATTCTTCCGGAGATAATCGAGACACGACAACTCTCGCGTCCGTGCCGTGTCATTCGAACATACCGTACCGCATAACGACCCCTATGTGCAACCTCTAGCCCATGGGATGAGGCGCAATGCCGGCACACCCGTGCCGCCCGACACTGTCCTTGTGATTCCCATAGTCGAAGAAGACACCCAAGACCTTAGTCTTGCAACACTCGCCCATGCCATG